AAATAGCCAGTGGAAACACCCTGTAGTTATCTTAAGAATTAATTCAATGTGCTAAGCGTGCAAAGTTTAAATAAATCATTAAAATTTATGAATTTAATTGCCTTCAATTATTGCCACAGATAAAAAGCGTTGCTAACTACGATCGCAACTTGAACTGCCACCCATAAACAAGCACTTGCAGTCGCTGCACTGCACTTGTATGCAGTTTCCATTTGGATTTGGATTTGATTTGATTTGATTCAGCTGTACGCGCTGAGTAGCAGATAATTCAATTCAATCAACGGTGGCCGCCCTAACATGAAATTACGAAAATTATGGACGCGGTCGGCACAAAAAGTTGACTAACTTATCATTAAGGCGTTGCTAGACGAGAGGGGAGGGGCCGCGGCACTTCACTGGAGGAGGAATACTGCTTCGACTTGGTATGTGGTTATGGCAATTGTCACAGCACGGGACGGGTCGCTGCCAGTTAATTGACTGCTGCGCCAAGGGTCAACCAACTGTCGCGACTCCGGGTGCACAGAAATCAAATTACGAATATAGTTCAAAAATGATTGATTGGGCAGTTGTGCGCGCGCATTAGATGGCAATTTGTCTAGGATGCGATTTGGGTGCAGTGGCCCGTCAGGCGCGTGGGTTGGCCTGCCACTAGTGATATTGATATTAATATTGCATTTTGTGGCCCAGTTCCAGACGGCCAACAAACTGAAGCAGCAGCCACAGCCACAGCCACAGCCGCAGCAACAGCAGCAGCAGCAGCTGGCATACAACTTGAGGCAATTTGACACGCTTCAAACCAGTCTTTGGGCTGGTTTGCTTGCAACACTTTGTGCCGCCTTAATATTTGGGGCCAGTTGGTTTACTACTGTGCGGCGATTCGCCACAGAAACTCTGCTGTAGCTGTGGATGACTTTCCCGTATGAAATAAATTGCCAAACGACCATGATCTGATAATGTGACTTAGGTTACGCACGTGCCACGCAACCAGGAATTTCTCGCGCTGGTGCCATGCTTAACCTTCAACGTATTTGACATGGAAATTCTTAGCGTGCGATAAGAATGGATTTCCATTTACCCAAAAAGTGACACATAAACCGCACAGCAGCAACTTGGATATCCACATGCAGCACGCTGTTATGCCCAGATTCATGTCCATAAAGTGCGCACAAGCGAATGAAATGACGGCCGGCCAACTGGTTGGAGAGCATTGCTGGGTGCCGCGCCTCGCCGTTTGGCCTCTGATATTAAAAACCAAAACAAAAAACGTTCCTAAAAAAAAAACCGAAGTCAGCCAGCATTCATAAAAAACGCCACAAAAAGTCAGAGTTGCGCTCTTCAGCAGCCAACTGACCACCCAACGATCCCGAATCCAAAACGAAATCAAACCCAACACGTTGCTACGCCGCGACTCGATGGGGCAGGCAGCTACGTGCGATGGCAACCGTTGCAAATGGAGTTGGCTGGCTGGACTGCTGTTCAAAGGTAAGCAAATAGCGTCGAGTATAACCCACGGTGAAATTGATTCGCATCTGGAGTCCTCAGGTGAGCTGTGCTGCGCTACTACTGCCTTTGCTTTTAAGGATGCTGAAGCGAAGCGGGGCATTAAATTTGTACTCCATAAAATGTTATAAAATACAGTACAGATTTTGTTACTTTATCGAGGGAGGGGCGCCGCGCTGAGCACAGAGAGCTGAGATTGGGACCGGTGCTGGTCAAATTATGCACAAGCTGCTGAGAGATACATAAAAATAGTCAAATCATTAAATGGTGTTGACTTTTAAGTAGCTACTTCTTCCAAACGAAAAATGACACCAGAGTCTACGGAATTAGGTAGCTTAAGTTTATACTTGAAATAAAATTTATTTGCTCATGTAGATCAACAAAAAAGGAAATTTATGTCAGTGATGTCAGCTTGAAGCATTACAAGAGCTTTATTTAATAGCTAGCTAGCCTAGTGGCGATTTAACATTGTTTGACTATTTATATTGACAATGCAAACTCAATTGATTTTAAAGTTAAAGTATTGATGTCGGATTAAACTCGTTTAGATTTATGGCATTTCACTTCAGTAGAAAAGTCGGCATACTCTAAATACCCTGACTGTCGAAGCTCGAACAAATTGCCTTTGGAAAAAAAGGATTCTAATTGGATTCGTAATATATGTATGCTCAAATATGTCTGCTAGACTGGCGACCTTCGTTTTATATTTATATTTTCTCATATTTCAGCTACGTGTATTGTTTGTGCCCTATGTGAAGGTCGCGTGTGTGCCCACGCCCAATCACCGCGAGTCAGGTGCGAGATGAAGGAAAAACAACAACAAATGTCGCTCAAGTGTCGCACGATTAGGGCTCTCTCTGCGCCGTATGCATCGCTATCTAAATGTCGAGCTGTCAGCTACAGTTTCACTTTCAAATTCATGCAATGACAGGAACGAAAAATGTCCACAATGCCTGTCAAACAATCTGCCATCGAAATAACAAAGGTCACAGCAGAAACTTTCCAATTGATTGATCGGATAGGCTATGGCAGCTAGTAACCAGTTGCCAGACCGACCCTTGACTATTCAGCTCAGATTATCAAGGCTAATTAGCAGTGCGCAGCAGTGTTGCTCAGATTAGAGCAGAGAAATGCAGTAAAATTGCTTTGGCCAAGTTACAAGCTGTCCTCTGCCCAGCACTGACCTGCAGCAAAGTTTATGGAATAAAAAAAAATATATGTATATATATATATATATATAAATGAAAAAGATAATTAAGCTGGGCTAACGAAGTAAATAGAGCAAAAGGGAATTATGAAAGAACGTAGGAGAGAAAAACGCGCAGCATTAAGCAGGTATAAGTAACTAGGAGAAATTGGATAGCAAAGGATTCCAGTGAAGCTATGCTAAGAATTCCTATTACTGGCTAATTGCGCTGTGCCGGCCCGTCGCCATGCTTTGATTGCGAGAAGGTCCTTATTAATTGCAGGCAATCCTCTTGCATGCCAATTATTGCATTATCTTTTCGTTATTGCTGACTAAATGCCGCAATCGATTTTGAATGAACGACATGGAGTAATCGAATTGTCACTAGCAATCACAGCATGAAAATTGCGTGAAAGCTCGCAATTGAATTGAAAAGCGAATGAAAATGCGGCGGATCAAATTGGAATCAAATGGGTTGCATGGAAAACAATGCAACTTGTTAGCGCTATTAACGACAACAGCGGCAAATCGACTGTAACACTTACAAAAGCAACAACAGCAACAAAGCACACACATTCATCAAGACACACACTTAACGAATGCGGCAGTGACGCATACGAGTGGCACATGTTGCGTATACGCAATTTCTGGTTCGTCAGCCTTGGGTGGGTCCGAAAAAAAAAAGAAAAAGAAATACAAAACCAGTTGCAGCTGTGCAACGTGTTGATTAGAGCAACTTGCGTGTGCTAACAAATTGTAAGTCAATGCCATGGCCACACACACAACAAAACTTGCAAATGAATGGAGTGTCCAATGCATTGGAGACTAATCGATGTGTGTGTAATGCCGAGTTCAATACCTTTCACGTAAGCAGTTCTTGTGGGAATGCACAGCATATATTTTCTAGTTGCGACTCACTGGACCCCTCAGAAATTACATAAGTGAATGTGTCCTATGCCCTTCACAGTTTATTAAAAATTTAATTATGGTTGTGGTACAATAAATTTGTTATTAAAAAATCTACATTATAATAGTGTAAAAAACTTGTGAAATTTATTTAACCATTTTATGAACTGTCATTAGCTTAAATTTGCTAAAACATATTAGGCTGGCCAAATGTCATTTGATGTCTGGGAGCGGTCTGCATCTTAAATATGCCTAATTTATATCCCTGATTGGCATTCGGCAATCGCATTGTTGCAATTGTATTTTCATGTTCATTTATTTTGGTCAGCAGCAACAGCAACAACCTACAAAATGTTTGCACTCAGTGTCGGCAGTGGGCAATATTATTAACCATATCAATTGCCTAAGTGCAACACCTTTGCGCATGCGCAACCGGGCGATAGGCAAGAGCTTGGCCTGGTCAACTTATGCGGGCGGGTGGTCACTCATTTCAAATTGCAATCGCAGGCGCCGTTAACGTTAGTTGTTGGCTTAGTCGTTACCGTTGCTGTTGCCGTTACCGTTGCCATCGTAAAAGTGCAAAGTCACGGATGAACGAGTCGACAGCTGGCAGTTGGCTGACAGTTGGAGTTGCCGTTGGAGCCGGTGGAACTTTGCTTCAGCGATTCGTTTTAATTGATTTTGTTGTGTCTGGTCTGTTGGTCGATTGCAGCAGGAACGGCAACGCCTGCACCACCGGCAACCACAGCCACACAGCATGCACCAACCGACCTACAGCCGATGAGTTGCTAAACTAAATTTGCGCTTGGGCAACTAATTTAACTGAACATGTTGTGGAGACAGTGGAACTCAATCCATGCCCCGGTATGCAAAAGAGTTGCCAAACATTCGCGGCCAAATTCGGCGGCTCCTAATTGTCGACTTTTGCATCCAGTCACCCACCGCAAAGCCTGAGCCACCATGGCGATTATTCCACTTGGCACCCTCTCGCTTCATTGCCTGATTTTACAGCTCTGGTTTTTGTTATTTTCTGCTTGCTGTTGGTGTTATTGTAATTGCCATGGTTTGCACATTTTTTGGCTAATTTTCAAATGTGGCGGTGGCAGCGGCCCAATGGATTTTCATTTCCACTCGCTTGCCATAAACTTTTAGCGGCAAATGTTATTGGGCCACTCCGAGTTGTTGCTGTTGCTATTGCTTTTGATGGTGTTTATGCAATCAAAATTCTTGCTAGCCCCATGGCAAGAGTAACAACAGCAACAACAACAACAACAACAACTGCTACTACCAAGGCTCGAATGGCACTTGTGGGTGCAATTGTAATTATCCTAATTTATGTTGTATGCTGCTCGCTTTGTGGCAGCTCTTGATTGCACCGCCCAACAACAAGAAAAACAATCCGACCATGTCGGATTCTAATACTGTACAGATTTATTGTAAATTATCTAGCCACTTGACAATGATCGATAGTATAAGATTTATGCACAGGTATTAAAACGCTGACCATTTTTGGATCCGCAATGAGGCTACGGCAGCTCCAACTGTAGCGGCCCCACAAATCGGGACAGTGTTTAACTATGTGGCTGGCCAACGATTTTGGTTTGTATCTGCCACTAATCGAAATACTTTCCACCGGCTGGCATGGCTGTCTTTTGGTTTTCCAATAATTAGCCATTAAAATGGAGCGACGATTTGAAAAGCAACCGGGGAGTTGGGTGCATTAGTGGAATATCTGCAATGAAATCGAACAAAGCAAATTGAGTGTCAGTAATGCAGTAATCAAGCGAATAAACCAATACCCAGATAATTAATTGGCCATTATGTTTTATTTTGAAATAAATTACGTTTACATTACATTTTCCATTAGCAAAAATAACATTTAATTTATTTTTTGCAATGATTTCAAATATATAAATGCAGTATATCTTTTTATTAACTTTTTTTAGTATTTTACATGTTAATTTTAGTGTAATGCTTTTTACATAGCCAATATTTCAATATCAATCAAAGTCGAAGAACGTCAATTTAATTACACCTGCATACATATACTCGTTAAATAGTTCCATAAATATGCTTGCTTTAAACGGAACTGGAAACCATAAAAAACGGGAAAATATAAACGGCGCCTCCTACTGCTATTTGTTATTTGCAATGAAAACATTTACTCAGGGCAGCGCTTTAGAAAATGCTTCAAACCCAGTTAGAAGTCCTACACACACGCTTACAATAGAATGCTTAATAAATAAATTACCTAATCAAAATAAATATAATTCAAAAGCAAACAAGAACAAATAACAAATAAACAAATTAATGTGTTGAATAAATACGTTAAGAATCATTATCGCAATTGAATTGGGAGCGTGACGCGGGGCATGTCATGACGACATTCGCAAACAGCTTGAATGCCAGCAGGTGTAAATAATAATAAATAAAATAAAAACATTTTGAGCATAGCATATCAATGTTCTATGGACATATCAGGTGTGGTCCAGCCAATACAAATTGAAATGTTCTTGTCAAAGCCTGACAACAAATAAGCTCAATCACTCATGTAATCAATTAATCGAGTACATAAGCGCAGACAACGCCAATTCCAATGATTAATATCCACATTATGGTGCTTATGGTAATTAATACCACTCGAATGTCAAAATGCAATTTATTTGCACGCACTTTGGAGTCGAAAACCCGCGCTTAATTTGTTGTGAAAAGAATTTAATTAAGCTCACGATTCTCATATAACAATTGATTGTCATGAACTGCAAAAGGCTTATGCTCTGATTTAATCAGAGTTCGTGAGATCGCAGTGTCCATTAGTCTCTCTCGCATTCTCTGTATCTCTCTATCTCTCAACTTGTTATTGTTTTTATCTCTCTATTTCCATATCTCTCCCTCTCTCCTTATTGTCTCGATAGACCGATAGATTCTCATCTCTTTCTCTCTGCTTTGCTCTCTCTCTCTCTCTCTATTTCCTTAAATCTCTCACTATCGCTCTCTCTCTCTCCCTCTCTCTCTCTCTCTTCCAAACTCGCTCCCTCTCACACACATATGTACGTACAAGCTCGTTCATTCTTTTTTACTTTACTTAAACGATATGACAGTTAATTTCATACTGAAACACTCCCATAAATCATTCTGTAAATAATTAGTTAGCAAAAACAATTGTTTATTAAAGTCGTACACGTACTCGTACTGGTACTCGCCCTTGCTTTTGTTTTAATTGAAAAGCACTTTGCTGTCAGACTAAGCTTTGACTATTAAGTCAACTGATAACTGTTAAGAAACACTGATGATATGCTCACAGTCGAGTTCCCATCTGGCTTTCACTGTGAGTGCGCCCACAAAGCAGATGCGCCCGCTGCTTTAGACATATCAATTAGCGGCAATCTCGCGGCAATTAAAATTAGTAGCAGCAAAGCGCTGAGTGCTGGACATACTGGCAGCAGCTCTACCATTATTCCGCCATCAGAACGTCACATCAAGGGCCAGCAACATTTCGCCTTCAACGCTCATCATTGTCAGGCCGGTAAGGCATTCGTTACTTCGCTGCCAAGGCGTTAACAGGCAGATGCAGCAGCAGCAACATCGACAGCAAAAAATACTCGGTTCACGATACAATATTTAAACTGCATGAAGTGCGTGAAGTCAATAGCAACTGGAAAGCTGTTCAAGTTCAAGTGTGCCACAGTTTGAATGTAAGTGTTGTTCCTTAACTGTTATTCAGTCCATGTTCTCGGATCAGAGTTCAGTTCTTACAGTTAGAGCCGACACAACTTCGTTTTGACTAAATACGCAATAAGTGCTGAAAACAGGTTTTGTGCAAATAATTTTGCATCATTGTAAGTTGCATAGCTACAAACATGAACATCATTCCCAATCGGTCGTTAACGATAAGTAGCAAGAAATTTCATATCCGCATTGATCATATCGTGATATGCTAAAAAAAAAAAAAATCAAGTAAGACAGCTTTAGTCGAGACGGCTCGACTACAGGATCTCCTGAACCCTTCAGCGAGATTCCAATAACATTACACTTCTCCGCTAGCAGCGCAGTTGACACAGAGACTGCTTTTGTGCTGTTACATGGGCGACGTTATGTAAACATATTTGTTTTTTTTTTTTTTTTTTTAGAAGGGAAGGGTATTAAAAGCGAGCTGTTACATTTCTTTATTCATTACACAGACTCACATTGTATATTTCTATAAAAGGATTTCATATAATAATGTTTTACCTCGATATTATGAAAACGGATATAGTTATCGATTTCTTTAAACAAACATCTGCGCGCTTCATACAGCGACCTACAATTTCAAGTCTCGAGAACTTATAGTTACTGAAAATGACGAGCTCATACACAGATAGCCAAACAAAGAGTCGAACAGAGCTACATCGACTAAGCTGCCTATTAAGCAATTACACAAAATACGTTTACTTCATGCTGGTAAATAAATTTTCATAATAACCATTCAGATTACTTATTTGAATACAGGGTATAATTCAGGGAAGCTGCACATGCCAAACACTTTGACTAGTTTAGGGCAGATAAGAACAGACATCACATACGTCTTAGTTGTATTCCTATTAATTAATTTTCTGCCTGCTGTGACTGTTCGGCTCATCAGACTTGCTGACTGCCAATTATTGTAGGGGGAAGTATTGCGCTGATAAGAGAGCTCATTTGTGATTAAACGCGCAACTGAAAAGATTCTATAGTAGTTCGGTGTTCATTCATTCGACGCTCATTCACGCTCAAATTGAATAACTGATTCATGAATGGTTCGTTTACCTTTCGCACAACCTGACGTGAGATATTCTCCCAGTTCTATACAGTTTGTGTTCTTGAACTAGAGATCAAATGAGTCCGATGGTCAAACGCAATTAGAAGCCATAAGGTTGACAATTATATAAACTCTAGACCCGCAGACTGCAGCTGCACGCGCCAGCCGCAACAACAAATATGCTATGCAGTGCATGCCACGTATTTGCGTATGTGTTTGTGTGTGTATCTGCTTTTTAATTGACATGTTATCCAATCTCGGTCATAGTCGCTAATTAAAAGGTTTAAGGCTAAAATTAGCATACGAACCAACGGCAATTCAAGTGAACACCACTACAGATGCACCCTACAACACACGCATAAAAAGGCCGATCCACACATTTGCATGCAAGTACATCTCATTTTACATACACACACACAAAGACACACTCAAGCTAATTTGCGTGTTTGCTGTTCATGAAGCACAAATTCGTGCGGTACGAGATGGCGAAGTGGACCCCAACAACAAAAAAGTGTCCATAGGCTTGTACTCTGCGAATGCGAACGTGAATGTGCTGAATCTCTATGTATATGTGTGTGTGCGGATGGGTCCGAGGCAGCGTGGACTGTTTTGTTGAGCATGAGCTGCGTGTCGCCATATTAGATGGCATCGCATGCCAACAATTATCCGCATAATCTTGTAATACTAACCCAAACCCAAAATGATGTCGAAAGGCAATTTACTGACAAGTTTTCTTTCGCCTCGCAAGTAGCTTAAATTCACTTAACTAGTAACTTGCGTGTGTATAAATGAATGTATATATACGTGTGTGTGTGTGCAGCCAGTGATTATGTATATAAGCAGTAAATACTTTTGACATTTTAACAACCATGATGAATATTACGTATACGCACGGTAATAGAATTTCGCTTTGCCACGACTTTTTCCACTGAAATTCTAGAAGAGATTAATGTAAATTGGATTTTCTTTAAATTCAACGAAAAGTTAACTAATACAATTAAAATAAATACTTCAGCAGAACACTTTTTTTTTATTTTTTATTCAATATACGTTTACTTGAAGCATTCCTAAAAAAAGAAAATAAAAAGGGCACCAAGTCGCTGTTGGACTGATTAAACAGATTTATGGCGACAGTTTGTATGTATACACAAATTCTTTAACTACTCAACAATTGTCACTGTCTATATGCCGTACCCCGTAGGGTGTAGCGCAGCGAAGCACAAAGTTTAACCTGCTTTGGCTGTCTGTTGCGTCCAATTGTTTTGTGAAATTAAATTAAATTGATTGAATTTAGACCCAATTCAAAGCTGAACCCGGACGGAGGTCAGCACTGAGGTGCCACCATTCACAGATTGTATGAATGTATATGTACAAACTGTGAGTATGTGTGTGCTAGTGATAATGACACTAATTTTCAGTACGATATGTTTGTTGTTGCAACGGCTGCAGCTGCCTCTGGTAATGGCTATATTGTATTATGGATAGCACATGATGATTGTTGTTGTTGCTTGTGCAAAACTTGTTTGTTTAGCAGACATTAGCGCACATTAATACAACCGGAAGTAGTCGATTTGTAAGCACCCAAATAAGGTTAATGGGTCAAATGCTGGGACTATGGCAATGCGATCGACTCTGCTGCAGGTTAAAGCAATTGCAGAAGGTCAAAGACCCATTGATATCGGTAGAACATTAATGTTACTCCAAGCGATCAATATTTACTTGGGTTTACGGCCTGACAGACAAACTAAATGGAAGTAGCAGACCGCATAAACACACACACACACACACATACATAGAGTAGCTGAACAGTAAACACAGATCACAATTACGTCGCTACCTCTTCTATCTCTATCTCTTCTTCCGTCTCTCACGCCATCTCCTTTTCTTGTGTGCTATGCTGCTGAGGGGCTGATTTAAGCGCCGCGCTGTGGGCGTCGGCGTCGTCTCTGCCATCGTCGTCTTCATTCAATTGTTTGTCGCGCGCCGTGATTACGTCCAGCTTGACCGGCGCACTGGACAGCCCCAAATGGAGCTAGCAGTTTTAGTAGGCAATGCGCGCGCGACTGATGCGCCCGCACTCTATCTCGTTGCTGGCGGCTCTCGGCTATCAGATCGCGGTTCGCGTTGCTCGGTTCTCGGTTCTCGGTTTTCGATTCTCGATTCGCGGCTCTTTAGCTGGCGGCTTTTCATTCTTTCGCAATTGCGCCGCGAACAAAATTGCGTTTAATTAAAGTATAAAGGCCTGAGCTCACCATTCGGCACTATTCGTTGTCGTTTTCATATTGATTAAACATATTTGAAAACGTGCATTATGAGTCGCCACAGCCCCTTGAAGCTGACGCTGGTGCAGGTGCACGGTGCGCACCCACCGCCAAATCCGCGTGCCGCTCGTACCGAGCGTCGCGTCAAGTTGGGGCTAGGGGTTAATCAGCAAACAGGTCGCGTACAGTGGTGTCCCGGTCTAACCTGTTGCAAATTGCTCTTACTGATTCCAGTGGTGATGCTGCCATTGACATTGGTGCTGCTGCTGCTACTGCGGCTGGACGGAATGCTGCAAGCGCTGCAATTAAGCGAACAACGCGTACGCGAGCAACGCAAAGCTGCCATCCCGGTGCCCGGCTACCTGGAGGACTACGAGTCGCTGCTGCCGGAGGGCGAGACCTACAATGACCTAATCAATGATGAGTTTCTATTGCCGCACGCCAAGCGTACCCAGATAGAGTTGAACGCAGCAGAGAAAGCCAAACGCTGTCTGCCTTATCGCTATGCGAATGGCGAGACACTAGAGCTTGAGGATCGCAGCATTTTAATGAAAGATGCCCGCACATCTTTTCTACCCCATGGCTCTGTAATTGGCGCAATGCCCAGCGAGTGCTTCGAGAACGAAATGACAGACACCGAGAGGAACACTGTGGTCGACGATGAAGGCTCCGAGTTCGACACCAGCCGCAAGAAGAGCACACCCAAACGGTATCCGGATAAGAGACAGTACATGTCCCGGCGACGGCAGGCAGTGCGGGAGCGACGTGAAGCACAGCAGGAGCAGCATGTGGATAATTTGGAAGCGGAGTTGATTGAGAGCTCACTGCAGTCTTTTTGGAACGAGCAGGGCACTCGGGAGGATATACGTCAAGCCCAGTCGAAGACCATGCAGCGTTACATGAACAGACATGTGGATCCGTGCGTGGATTTTTACAAGTTTGCCTGCGGTAACTGGGAGAGGCTGCACCCCATACCTAAGGACAAGGCGGGCTTCGATACTTTTGAGATGTTGCGCGAGAGTCTGGATTTAGTGCTGCGTAATCTGCTTGAGAGGACTCCGCAGTCACCAAATTCAGAGATGCGTGTGCGGCAAAACGTATTCAAACTAAACGAGCAGGAGCCAGAAACGGATCAGGCATCCGAGCTTAAGGCTGAGCGACTGCGTCGGCACATTGTCCATCGGCGGCATTTGCTGAATCGTGTGCTGGTGCGCTATAAACGCTTTACCAATGCCACTAAGCGGAAGAGACTCTTTGAGCCAGTGCGCGAGAGGAACAGAGAGCAGGATACGCCGGCGTCATCTACGATACATATTAAGGACAAGGACAATGAGAAAGACAAGGACAAGTACAAGGAGGAAATGACACCGATGCAAGTGACTACCAAGGAGTTCCTAAAACCCAAACACGATGCTCAACTGAAGGCAAAGAATCTATACAAGTCATGCGTGAACAGCGAGCTGCTCAATCGTCGCGGCCTAGACCCGCTGCACTCGCTTATTCGGCAGCTAGGCGGCTGGCCAGTCCTTGACCCGGATTGGCGCAGCACCCACTTCAACTGGCAGCAACTAGCCGCCACTCTGCGTCGGTACAACAACGATATTCTTATCGTACAGTGGGTGGGCGCTGATATTAAGAACTCTGAGGAGAATATCATACAGTTCGATCAAACCGGGCTGGGTCTGCCCACACGCGAATACTTTCTGCAGCAGAGCAATGCCAAGTATTTGACTGCCTACCAGCGTTACATGTCCGAGGTGATGCACAAGCTGGGCGCCAGCAAAGCGGATGCAGTTCATACGGCCACCGAACTAATTGCCTTTGAGACAAGGCTGGCAGCGATTACAGCTCCAGCGGAGCAAAGACTCAATGTAACCAAGGTATATATCACAGTAAAGTTAATAAAACAAAATAAACGTTACAAATCTGTTCTCCATTATCAATAATACTATAACTTATCTATATATGTGCACAGCTCTACAAACGGATGACGCTACAGCAACTGAAGGCGACGGTGCCACAGATTGACTGGATTGTGTACTTGAGTACCCTTCAGGGACGCAACGTCAACGAGACGGAACAGGTGGTCATCTATGCGGTGGAGTACATGAAGCAGCTGGTGGCACTGCTTGCCGTTACGGAGCCCCGCACAGTGGCCAACTATATGATGTGGCGGTTTGTACGGCATCGCATCAACAATGTTGACGATCGCTTCGATGACATCAAACAGAGCTTCTACCATGCGCTCTTTGGACGCGAAGAGAGTCCGCAGCGGTGGAAGGTGTGCATAGCACAGGTGAACACGAATATGGGCATGGCCGTAGGCTCGATGTTTGTGAGTCGGTACTTCGATGACAACAGCAAGAGGGATACGATGCGCATGACCCACGAGCTGCAGCAGGCATTCCGGGACATACTGAAGACCACAGACTGGTTAGATCAGACGACTAAGCTGTTGGCCGAGGAGAAGGTGAATGCAATGTCCCTTAAGATTGGCTATCCGGACTTCATACTTAATGCCGAGGAGCTGAACGAGAAGTATGCTGGTATCGATATACATCCAGATAAATACTTTGAGAACACGCTCAATGTGCTGCTGCACACGGCCAAGATGGAGCAGGCCAAGCTACACGAGCGTGTCAACAAAACCAACTGGCAGACGGCGCCGGCTATTGTTAATGCCTACTATAGCCGCAACAAAAATCAGATCATGTTTCCCGCTGGCATACTGCAGCCGCCTTTCTATCATCGTTATTTTCCCAAATCTCTCAACTTTGGCGGCATCGGAGTGGTCATTGGGCATGAGTTGACCCACGGCTTCGACGATAAAGGCCGGCTCTTCGATAGCAATGGCAACATACACAAGTGGTGGACGGACTCGTCTATTCGCGGCTTCGACGACCGCGCCCGCTGTATCATTTCACAGTACGGCAATTATACGGTCGAGGAGGTGGGCATAGCTCTCAATGGCGAGAGCACGCAAGGTAGGCCACAAATCCAGTAATCCAATTAATTGCATGGCTCATCAGTCATCTGCCCCTCAGGCGAGAATATTGCGGACAATGGAGGACTGCGGCAAGCTTTTCACGCTTACATGCGTTGGTTAAATGAAAACCCCAACGAGGCCAAGGATGAGATGTTGCCGGGACTAAATATGACCGGACCACAGCTATTCTTCTTAAATTTCGGCCAGGTGTGGTGCGGCGCCATGCGACCGGAGGCGATACGCAACAAGCTAAACACAGCCATACATAGCCCTGGACGCTATCGTGTCATCGGCACCCTCTCCAACTCATACGACTTTGCACGCGAGTTCAACTGCGCGGCTGGCACGCCCATGAATCCCCAAAAGAAGTGCAGTGTCTGGTAGCCGAAGCCCATTGTTTCCTATAGCCTAAGAGTATTACGAACGATCCATTCCTAAACCAACCAGCACACGCCAGTTGGATCTAACTTTAATTGTAAGTATTATATCAATAAATAAAACCACTTAGCACTAGACATTCCAATGCTGACACATCACATTCAGAATCGCTCCACTTTCGGAGCCGCTTGATTGGGAGTTGCGCTTGATGTTCGCCAGCTTCCTCTCAACTGTCATTTATCCCATTGAAGATGGGCTTGTTGTGGTGCTGTCATCGACAACGTCGCACTTCAGTTGGGCCCGTTGCGCCACAATTTACATTCCCTTAATTAATGGTGATTTATGCCCACTAGTTGGATTGCTTTCAATGGCCTCCCTATGCGGCTGTTGCTCTCCTTCTTGTGGTGGTGAGCTTCTTCAATTGTCTTTCCAATTAGCAAGCCAACACATAAATTTTAGAAATTATTTAAGTACGAATTTATACTTTATTATTAATTATATATGTATGTATGTAATTAATATACAATTATATTTATAAATAATTAGAGTTTTCGCAATGTGTGAAACTCGATCTTAGTTTCGCTAGAGCAGGATATTTAAATGTGAACCTAATCGCAAGCTAAATCCTTTTACACTTTACAGAAGGCGCTAATTTTCGGATTTATCCCAAACCTGACTTGCCATTAAACTAAAACTACCAGGATATATATTCGCAAGTGTATTCAACCAAAGATATTTAAGCCGAAGTGTGCCAAAAAGAAAAAAAAATAAAGTATGATATACTTTATGATTTTATTTTATATATATATAGAAATATTATAGTATTTTGCTAACTATATTTTTAAATTGCAATAATTTAGTTGAAACTATTTATGTTTGTGATAATTCGAATAAAATATTAACAGTAGCAATATGTGCACAAACGAATCAAGAAATTTATTTTTTATCTATTATAATATATGTACATATATGGGGACTACGCAACACTGGCAACAGTTCCAAAACTTTGCAGCTTTCAAGCTTCATAGAAAACAAATATTTTGGAAAACTTTTGAGCATATTTTCTAATATATTCCTCTTCAGTTGTAGCAGTGTCTTCAGAGGGGACGGATCGCCGAGCAACTCACGTCTGAGTTGGTTGTCCAAAAATATATATAGACAACAAATATATATCAAAAATAGACACAGAACACTTACTTATTCAAAAGAAAATATTCAAAATTAACTAATAGAAATAGATTAAATGCATTTTTGGTTGGCTGTTCTGGTACTTCTGTGGTCACGTGCAGTCCATGGCTACGGCAGCAATCCCTATGCAGTTTCCAATAGACAGGCCATACGCATCGGTAAGCTAACAGAGAACTTACCAGACATTCCACTCAAACACTCTCGCATACTCATCGCTCTTTGACTCAATCAATCAACGGCGCGCAGGTCTAATTACTGACGATACCACGGATAGAATACGCCAAACTTTCGAGCATGCCATAGCCGTGGTTAACAGCGACCTGAGCGTCCCACTGGTGGGTGAAACAGAGCAAGTGGCTTATGGGAACTCTGTGCATGCTTTTGAGCAACTATGCAGACTAATGCAGGTGAGAAATGAGTAAACAAGAATTGCTGAATGTTAATGAAAATCGTTACTATGCTATAGAATGGGGTGGGCGCCGTATTTGGACCTGCTGCCAGGCATACTGCTGCCCATCTACTGAATGCCTGCGATGCCAAAGATGTGCCCTTCATATATCCGCACCTGTCATTGAGTCCACAAACCGATGGCTTTAACCTGTATCCGCATCCGGAGGACATTGCCCATGCTCTCTTCGACATCATCACTAAGTTCGGATGGTCCCGCTTCATTTTCTGCTACGAGTCCTGTATGACAAATGCCTTTTCTCTCGGAATATATCTGATAATTTATTATTGCTTACAGCGGAATACCTCACCATACTGGATCACCTAATGACATTGTATGGCACCAAAGGACCAGTCATCAAAGTGATGCGTTACGATCTCAATCTCAATGGCAACTACAAGGCGGTACTGCGACGCATCCGCAAATCGGAGGATAGTCGCATCGTGGTTGTGGGCTCAACGGAGGGCGTGGCCGAGCTGCTGCGTCAGGCACAGCAGGTGGGCATCATGAATGAGGATTACACATATTTGGTGGGGAATCTAGATCTGCACACCTATGAACTGGAGGAGTACAAATACAGTGAGGCAAATATAACTGGCATACGCATGTTTGACCCAGATAAGAAAGAGGTGCGTGACTTAGTCGAAACACTGCAACACGAGATAGGCGAAAGTGAGCCCATGAACAATGGTAAGATCTGAGTTTCTCCCATTCTCCCTTTCATACTTAATTCAATGATTGTAGGCTCTTCCACCATAACGTTGGCCATGGCTCTAACCTATGATGCAGTGCGCGTCATTGCCGAAACCACCAACTTTTTGCCCTACCAGCCGCAGCAGCTAAATTGCTCTGAGCATCATGATAATGTTCAGCCGGATGGCTCCACATTTAAGAACTATATGCGATCGGTAAAAATGCTTTTAAAAAATTATATATTTTGATATATTGATCGTTATATTGTACAGCTGGACATTTTGGACAAAACAATCACGGGACGCATATTTTTTCAAGGCAATATGCGTAAGAGATTCAGCTTCGATGTGATCGAGCTGCAGCCCGTGGGTCTGGTGAAGGTGGGCACCTGGGAGGAGGGGAAAGACTTTGAATTTAAGCGACCACCACCAATAATAGATCTTAATGAGAACGAGGAAAATACTTTGGTGAATAAAACCTTTAAAGTGCTTATTTCTGTCCCGGTAAGTTAAACCCTATATTCATATGGTCCCCCTGCTTAAAATTTTGCCATATACAGAACAAACCCTATGCTAGTCTGGTGGAGAGCATTAATACTCTGATTGGCAATGATCAGTATGAGGGCTATGGCATAGATCTAATTAAGGAGCTGGCTGATAAACTTGGCTTCAACTTTACCTTTCACAATGGTGGCAACGATTATGGCTCCTTCAATAAGAGCACAAACATGACAACAGGAATGCTCAAGGAAATCGTTGAGGGCGTAAATAGTATTCACTATGTGATTATGTGATTATAAATTAATCGACAATCTCTAACAGCATGCAGACTTGGCCATCACAGACTTGACTATCACTTCAGAAAGAGAGGAAGCCATCGACTTCTCCATACCATTTATGAACCTAGGTAAGCCAGATTGAAAATAATGCTTTAAAAATGATTTTAATTAATATTTAATTGGTGGTAAGGTATTGCCATTTTATATATAAAACCCCAAAAGGCGGAGCCCGAGATCTTTTCATTCATGGACCCATTTTCTAAGGAGGTTTGGCTGTACCTGGGCATAGCGTACTTAGGCGTGTCGCTGTGTCTGTTTGTGCTGGGCCGCCTCTCCCCTTCCGAATGGGATAATCCGTATCCCTGTATTGAAGAACCGGAAGAACTAGAGAATCAATTCACCATAAACAATTCACTGTGGTTCACTACAGGCGCATTGCTTCAGCAAGGCTCCGAAATCGCACCTAAGTATTACCATAAAATCTTACAAATAATTTGTATGAATTATTTTTCCATATCACAGAGCCCTGAGCACACGCACAATATCAGCTATTTGGTGGTTTTTTACGCTGATCATGGTATCCTCATACACTGCGAACTTAGCTGCGTTTCTGACCATAGAAAACCCGTCCAGTTCAATTAACAGCGTTGAAGATCTAGCAGAGAATAAAGACGATGTTCAATATGGTGCAAAGCGCACCGGCTCGACGAGAAATTTTTTCTTGGTAAGTAGTAAACGAGGAGGGTATCTGTAATCAATGCTTATTTGCCGTAATTCAGACGTCCGAAGACCCGATCTACATGAAAATGAATACCTACATGACCAATCATCCAGAGATGCTTACTGAAACCAATCAAGCGGGTGTCGATAAAGTCAAGGCGGGTACAAAATATGCTTTTCTCATGGAATCAACGTCTATAGAGTATAATACGGTGAGGGAATGTACTCTGAAAAAGATTGGCGAGGCGCTGGATGAGAAGGGTTATGGCATTGCAATGCCCAAGAGTGAGTACAGATTAGAATTCGATCTTAAACTAAAAGTAAACTAAAATAATCCTACCTAGACTGGCCCTATCGCGATAAATTCAACAATGCGCTACTCGAACTGCAGGAACAGGGCGTCTTGGCTAGGTTAAAGAACAAATGGTGGAATGAAATAGGCGCCGGTGTTTGCAGCGTAAGTTGTCAATGCTTGAGCACTCTTTCAAATAAGTATGATACATATTATCATTTATTACAGGACAAGAGCGACGACGAGGGCTCTTCTGCATTGGGCATGAAAAATTTAAGTGGCATTTACGCTGTGCTTATCGTTGGTTCATTGTTTTCCTTTATAATCTCCTTTTTCTACTGGTGTTTGTTTGTCTTCAAGAAAGCCAAGTTCTATGAGGTAAGTTAGATGCTTTTTAGGAAACTATCTCTACTTATTATTTACAGGTGCCCTTCTGCGATGCGCTTGCTGAGGAGTTTAAAATTGTTGTCAGTTTTGCGGAAAATGAACGAGCTTTGAAGAGCGCCCAGTCGGTCTATTCACGAAGTCGGAATTCCTCACAGTCCATAGACTCTCTGGAAACTGATTCGGAGAATAATCTACCCGATGAAGACTAAGATCAGACTAAAATTTTAATTAAAAGAATTCAAACTATATACTTAATTATTTTGTAAATTGTCTCACTTGATAATATCGTAATAATGATTAAATAAACTTTTGAATTAAAAGCTTTTTTAAACTTTTACTCAAAACGTTTTCCAAATGAATATTTTGGAAATGCTCATTCAGTCGTCAACTTTCGCTCAATGCGTGAAGAACATAAAGTCTAAAGGTGCAGCCTATTTTTCTGCCTAATATTGAATTATTATATGGAGCAGAAAGCTTAGTTATTTCATCCATAAACAATGTTTATGATTAATATTTTAATATATTTTTCAATAATCACATCAAGAATTTCGATTCTTAATGCACAATATGAACCTTATGGCGGATATGATAGCTTCCAAAATGCGGCCAGCATTCCAATTGGTAAGTTTTTCTAGCAATGAACATTGCGGTCGCCGTGCGCCTGATTTATTTTTAATGTCTCGTAAAGAGAACATGCTGTTCGTTCCATCAACGCTGAAAGCTCATAAAATGCTTTTAAGTATTTGTTTGTTTTGTTTTTCAAGAAATCGTGGCAGCGTCTAAATGTACTCTGAATATCTGAATATAGACTGCATTAAGTTCAAGTTTTTGTTTATAAACAAACCGGCAAAACTTACGTTTTATTATTCTGATTACAAATTCGACAAGATAGCGTTCTCTGTTCGAGTATGCCCGACTAGGAGCTACCCACAACTACTCCAAAAATTAACAACAAAAATATTTGTAGTTCTCTATAGCTTGCGGAGCTGTCTCTTAATGATTTTACATTTTTTTAAATAATCTTTAATTTTCAATTTTCAGGTTTGCTCACTGATCAAAATACGGATGAAATGAATATTGTATTTGATCATGCAATCGACGTAGCTAATGAAGAGCTGGGCCTAGCTATGACATCCCTAAAAGCGGAAGTGAACTACGGCGATGCTTACCACAGTTACGGTAAGCTGTGTCGCATGCTGGAGGTGGGTCTCCATCTTTGTTGCTTGGATAAATACAAACGATTTAATTCAAACACTATCTGCAGACGGGTATAGCAGGTGTCTTTGGACCTTCATCACGACACACGGCTTTGCATTTGATGTCCATATGCGATGCCATGGATATACCCCATATATACTCTTATATGAGCGAAAATTCCGAGGGCTTCAATTTGCATCCCCATCCTGCTGACCTATCGAAGGCTCTTTATAGCCTTATAACTGCGTTCGAGTGGTCGCGTTTTATATTTCTTTATGAATCGGGTATGTTATTTTTGTGTACTCATGCCATGCCTTCATCTCAAATTTCTCTTCGCAGCTGAATATCTGAGTATTCTGAATGAGCTCAACTCCCTCTTCGGCATGAATGGGCCAATCGTCACAGTGTTACGCTACGACATGCAGCTGAATGGGAACTATAAGCCGGTGTTAAGGCGCGTACGCAAGTCCAAAGACAATCGGATTGTAGTCGTGGGCTCCACAGATACAGTGCCAGAATTTCTGAATCAAGTGGGATCGACAAATCGTTTATAAAACTATTTAATAAATAAATCGATGACCTTTTCCATTCCAGGCACAACAAGTTGGTATTATCAATGAAGACTATAGTTATATCATTGGAAATTTAGACTTTCACTCATTCGATTTGGAGGAGTACAAATACAGTGAGGCCAATATAACAAGTTTTCGACTGTTTTCCTCGGAAAAAAAGGCTGTTAAGGAGCTTATGGAGAAAATGGGCTATACAAGCGAACAAGATGACTTTCGGAATGGTAAACAAAATATCTTTATATTCTGGCACGGACTCTCATTTTCTTCTTTTTAGGCTCCTGCCCCATTACCGTGGAAATGGCTCTCACATATGATGCAGTGCAATTGTTTGCTGAAACTCTAAGGAATCTGCCCTTCAAACCGGTTTCCCAGAATTGCTCACAACGCACAGAAAGTGTGCGAGACGATGGTTCCTCCTTCAAGAACTATATGAGAACGGTAATATAATTTAATCAAATTAAATATTTTACTTATGCTAAGTACTCAACTATCTAATAGCTACGTCTGAAGGACCGATTGCTCACTGGACCTATTTACTTCGAGGGCAACGTACGCAAAGGCTATCATTTGGACGTAATTGAGCTACAGCCCTCCGGAATAGTCAAAGTGGGCACGTGGAGCGAGGAGCGTGACTTCAGGCCAGAGCGCTTGGCGGCGACCAACTCTCAATTCGATAATATTGATAATTCTCTGGCAAACAAAACGTTTATCATATTGCTTTCAGTGCCGGTAAAAGATCAATCCAACAGGGCTTAACTAAAGTTAAAATTAACTTTGTTTTAAACAGAACAAACCTTACGCCAGTTTGGTGGAGAGCTACAAGCAGCTTGAGGGCAACAGTCAATATGAAGGATATGGTGTAGATCTGATCATGGAACTGGCTGATAAACTTGGATTTAACTTTACATTTAAGAATGGAGGCAATGACTATGGATCATACAACAAAACTTCGAATGAATCTACGGGCATGCTAAGAGAGATAATGCATGGAGTAAGCTATCTTTATCTCAGATGAAATATTATTATCTAAACTAACATTTCATCATAGTACGCTGATTTAGCAGTCACTGATCTGACTATAACATCGGAGCGTCAGGAGGCCATCGAATTTAGTATACCGTTTATGAATCTTGGCAAGTGATAATATTCTAGTAATTATCAGCTCATATTTAAATATATTTAAATTTTAGGCATTGCTATACTTTTCTTAAAGCCTCAGAAAGCCCAGCCAGAACTTTTCACCTTCATGGATCCCTTTTCAGAGGAGGTTTGGTGGTTCCTGGGATTGTCATTTTTGGGCGTTTCGTTAAGCTTTTTCATACTTGGCCGTCTGTCGCCCAGTGAATGGGATAACCCCTACCCTTGCATTGAAGAGCCAGAAGAGTTAGAGAATCAGTTTACAATAGGCAACTCAATTTGGTTTACAACTGGTGCTCTGCTACAGCAAGGCTCAGAAATAGGACCAAAGTGAGTTTACGTAATCATCATTTAAGGAAATTTTCATTGCCTTTTATTCTCCATTAGAGCCTTATCCACACGCACTGTGGCTAGTTTTTGGTGGTTCTTCACGTTGATTGTCGTGTCCTCCTATACAGCCAATTTGGCTGCTTTTTTGACTATTGAGAAGCCACAAAGTTTAATCAACAGCGTGGATGATTTGGCGGATAACAAAGATGGCGTTGTCTATGGAGCCAAGCGAACAGGATCAACTAGAAATTTCTTTTTGGTAAGTCACACAATTTTTTTAATACTACAAGGAACTACTTTAATAATACTTTGACAGAACTCTGAGGATGAACGCTACATAAAAATGAATAAATTTATGACTGAGCATCCCGAGTATCTAACAGAGACCAATCAGGAGGGTGTGGACCGCGTTAAGGTTAGCACTCAATACGCATTTCTCATGGAATCCACATCCATTGAGTACAACACAAAACGTGAATGTAATCTCAAGAAAATTGGCGATGCTCTGGACGAGAAAGGCTATGGCATAGCCATGCGGAAAAGTAACATAAAACATATCATCCTTAAATATAAAGAAGTACCTTAAGCACTTAAACTATTGCCCTGCAGATTGGCCCCATCGTGATAAATTGAATAATGCTCTGCTGCAGCTGCAGGAGCAGGGCGTGCTGGAGAAGATGAAAAACAAATGGTGGAATGAAGTTGGCTCTGGAATTTGCGCCACCAAGGAAGAAGCACCAGAAGCCACAGCTCTGGCCATGGATAATTTGGAGGGTGTTTTCTTCGTGTTGCTCGTGGGTTCATGTTGCGCGTTGCTCTATGGGGCGGTGAGCTGGGTGCTGTTCATCGTCAAAAAGGCGCGGCACTTTAAGGTTAACATCATCTTAATTTAATTTAATTTAAACCAAGAATTGAATTCAAACTCGTTTGATTTCAGGTACCGTTCAAGGAGGCTTTCTTGGAAGAGTTTCGGTTTTTAATTGACTTCAATAACTATGTCCGCGTGCTCAAGAGCTCGGATTCGATTTACTCACGTAGTCGTCAGTCTTCTATGTCAGTGGGTTCAGTAGGACAGTAATAATACCACTAATTTGGTCATCGTTAGCTTTATTAAAAAGTTTTTTAAATTCAAATGGAATGCTTGAAACAATTTGAAAAGTACCTTTTCAAGTTCAAATGCCTATTAAAGCAACTGCATATAGCTTAACTGTTAATACTAATTGTTCTGTGCAATAAACGTACTCGATTTGCATATGCACCAAAAAATATATGAAACAGAAGTATTTAAAATGAATTATAAAGTATTTTTTAGAATATTAGGCCATCTATTTGGCCATACATTTAGTGGTTAATAAATATTGTACCTAGTACATAGTTGAGATCGGACTTAGGTCCAGTTCTTGGCGCGCCAAAGCAGGCAATGTATGTGGTTATCTAAATCTGCTGTGGGCGTGGGTTTGCCCAAACCATGCGTAGGCGTGCTTGCTACTGAGCTAGAATTATTCGAAGTGGACTCGCCCATGTCCACATAACGTGAAATCAGCGAGCGATAGCGCCGTCCGAGCGTAGCTATTAGTGGAATGCCGGCACTCGGCATGGTGATTATAGCCTTGATCTGGAATGGATTTATAATTAACCAGAATTACCAAAAAAATATATATTTTAAATTCTTTACCTCATTCTCATATGGACGAAATACGCTAATGGGACGTAACGTAAGCAACTCAGCTACAATGAGACAACCCCAGGTGGTGCCTATGTACAGCTCTGTATTGTGGGCCGCCAACGCTGAGATTTGACATTTGATAAGATTTACGTGCTCATCAATCGCAATGCTCTGAAGAGATTCAGAGCAAGGCAGTAGCTTAGAGCAGTCCAATTTGTTTTCAATGCGCTTCGAGACGGTTCCCCACTGATAGACCATGCAACCGGGATACAAGCAACTGAAGACGTGGCTCTCGTTGCTGCAAAGACGCGTCACTTTAACATCCTCAATGAGATTCGGCTCATCGCTGTGACACAAGGCCTGATGACCACACACACCAGATTCATTGACTGGAAAAACGTTGATTTTGCCAGCTAACTCACCACACCAGAGCTCGTAGACGCTGCAGAGATCCCAAAAGATTATTCAAGCTTCTCAAAGATTTATAACGTACTCACCCTTCGATTAACACTGAGCAGGCAGCATGCAGCACAAATCCGGAACAGATCTCCGTTAGTACAAATGAGCCCTCGGCAAAGGCACAGTTAGTGGGCATGCGACAGGCATCCACCAGGAAGACGCGACCATTTTGTAAGCCCACCGCGACTCGCGTAATGCCCTCCATATATACTAAACTTATCACAGCTGACTTGATGGCAGGATCAAGCATGTAGGAGAACAGATGTGCATAGCTCGATGTGCTATAGGCGTGTAAGTTGCCCGAAACATCGCCCATCCAAATAGCCTCACCCACCAGGCAGCAGCACAGCATATTCACTTTTGGCATACGCTGTGCGGAGCGTGCTCTAGAGGATGCGCTGTTCTCGGGCGTTTTGGGCGGTACCATTTGTGGCTGTGGAGCACAGCTAATGCTGCTGCACTGCAGCACACTGCCAGTTGGCGCGACGTCTAGTATATCAATGTGTGAACCAAAGGCAGGCAGCCACAGCTCGAGGCCGGACCGCTCCTCGTCAATGCCAGTCAATATTAATTGGAATACGCCGCAAACAATCTTGTCGTTATGTGGCAAAGCTACCACATCCAGCAAATGAATGCATTCAGGTGCACTAAAGGGTGAATTTGATTGTCAGATAATAATCAAAAGTAAAAGTTCTCATCAAAAGTTACCTCAGTATTGAAACTATCTGACTAGCTGATGGCCGTCGACGCGGTTGCTCGTGCCAGCAGAGTACCATAAGATCTAGACAACAAGTGGGAAACTGTGTCTCACGATGTGTCAGAGCCGGACGACTGCCCTCCAATATGCACTCCTTGATGGATTCATGGCCCTCGAAGGGCTGGCGCAGGGTGATGTTTTCGTAGATGAACATTCCAAAGGAAAAGCAGTCCACCTAAAGGGAAAATAAAATGTGAGCGGAGATGCATATCATTAATTTATTACGAATTGCCTTTTCGGTATATTCCTCTTCGCCGTTAAATCGTATTATCTCGGGCGCCATAAATCCCTCTGTGCCGCCGAAACCCTTGGCACTCAGACCAGCCGCCGTCTGTCGACTTATCCCATAGTCCGCAATCTTGATGTGCACCTGGTTGCGCGGACTATCCTCAGTGTGAGGTTGGGGCAGCTCCCAGACGAGCACATTTTCAGATTTAAGATCCCGATATATGATCCGCCTTCGATGCAGATACTCGATGGCGCGTGCAGCCTGCAGCACTAACATTTGGAATGTATGCGGACCAATATGTGCGCCACTTCGTCTATACTGGCGTAGTAGAGCATCGAGGCCACCCAATGGCGCTAGTTCCAGCACTAAAGCCAAGGGTTTAATGCAAATTCCAACCAGCGGAACAATATTCGGATGCTTCAAAGTGAGCAGCACGGCCAACTCCTGCCTGGCTGTGCAGTAGGCCTTGCAGGAGTGCTGCAGCGGATCTCGATCCCATTTGCCCAGTGCGACCTTGTAGGCCATTAAAGCACTCTATGCAAAATAGAGAGAAATAATATCTTTGAGCTATTTAATTTTAGTCTGAACTCACCTCCTTGGCTCGCGCACCTGGCTGCACTGGCTGAAGCATTTTCATGGCTACCGGCCGAAAAACCCGAGTTCCACGCAATTTACAGCTGGCTTTAAACACGAACCCAAAGGCACCACGTCCCAGCAGAGAGCCCTTGACGATGCAGTCCGTGGCAATCGTGTGCTTGTCGGGTATATCTGCAAAGATGACATCCGGCGCCAGTTGAGCCATTGACTGTTCTAGATGAACCGGGCAACTGAGCTTGATTTGATTATACACAGACAAAATGCACTCCTCAACCATCCAGGCATAGCAGACGTTCGAGTTATCCGGCAGATGATGCGATGCATAGGTAGGATGCCCATCTATAGAGGTGTTACGTGAAGAGAAAGCTGAGTCTGGTCCTACTCCCGAGTCTGCGTCCGATCCAGCACCCAGCGAATCAGCTGAGCGTCTCTCTCGGCTAGCAGTTGCATTCAAATAAGCAGAGAACACATTTAATGCTCCATCGTCCCCAGGATCACCGACGCCATGCAGAAAGTATGTGCCCCGCTTACTGCTACGACTGGGTCTGCTGCTATTTGGCAGACTGGGCTCCTTTTCCCCGGGCTCTGCACCATTCTGCAGCTGCAGCTTGCGTAAACAACGTGGGCAGAGCACAAGGCGTGTTATTAAGAAACGGCCCTCTGAAGTATGCACAAAGCGTGTACCCAGTGCTGGGTACCAATCCTCTAGCAACAGATCAATATGATCCACAACCAAGGCAAGTAGCTTGGCAACATGCGACATATGTGGCTGCAGCTCAGCCAGTAGTTGTCTCTCGCCTGATTCGAGTTCTTGAGAAATGGTCACATTAAGCAACGGAAAGAAAACTTCCAAAATGCTGGAGGAACTTAGATTCACATCGCTCCAGATACCATCCAACTTGAGTTTGAAGCGATTACTAGTTGTACGAAAAGGCTGCGTTCGCTCGTTGTTTTGGAAGGGTACTTCCCAAATTCGAAAGATTAGAATCGGACCATAATAGAGAGCTATACCCGTCTGCCATAAATTCCACTGTGTATCCTGCTCCAGCGATCCGCGCAAATCAAAGTCAAGATATTTCTAATATACATCCGAGATTAGAATATGTTAAACCAAATATGATTGGGATGACTTACATCCTGCGCCACAACATAGACGCCTCGTATGGCCTCAATAATTTGCTCATCAGCCAGGACGCGTGTAATCAAACGTGACCAGAAACCAGAAGGAAAGTAAGTCATGAGCAACATACGACGCAATCCTTGGCTACTCATGGAGGCAGAAGAAGTCGAGGGACGCGACTCATAGATGAACTTATTCAGATTCAGCTCCTGTGAGACGGAGCACCCCACATTTCGACCACGCACACGCTGAAGCAACTTAACCGTTGTGCCTTCGTTATAGACAGCTGCCTCCTGCACCGGCAGCAAGGAGGGAATCAATAACGTTCGTGAATCCCAAGTAAGTGCCACCTCAAACTTGTTTAGTAAACTGACTATATAGCTGGAAAACATAAGAATGTTAAAGGTTTATTCCAGTAAACATATGAGTAGGCAAATCGACTCACCTTCGATTCCCGTTGCTCTGCGCGTGCACGCTGCGGAAGAGCAGCTGTAGATCGTCCAGTTTCATGACGCCAGTGGGCGCAAATGGATTGATCTCGCGCACGGTAACAACATGCGCGAGCATATCGCACAGCCATTGGGGATCGAGGAAATAGTAATCCCTGAGAGTCGCATCATCATAATGCAAAAGAATCCCATTGTCGTGGCACCAGGTTGTCGCCTGCTGTAGCTCAGCGGCATCACGAAAACTTTTGTAGTTATGCAGACGCATTTTCTCCGTGACCAGAGATCGATATTGCTCCGCATCCAGCACGGGATCGCGGCCAGCAGCTCGAAGACTAGAAGCAATAACATTGACAATATCCTCTAAAGCGATATAGCTGGCGGGTATCTTCTGCAGCAGCATCGGTTCCTTGGAGCCCGGCGAGCGCAACTGCATGGCCGTGTCATAGATAATGTTGGCCAGCAAATGGATGTTGTGTAGAGTGCTATAGAACAGTCATTATAATATATTATATTGTATATAAATTGGTTTCAATTCGACTAACCGACAGCTAATTTCAATAGAGTCAATAACGCGTGGCAGTCCAATCTTTTCCGCATCTGGTATAGCTATAAACTTCTCCCTTATTAGCTGCTGCAGTTGCTCGGCCTGCTGGGCAGAGATCGATTCCCCTACCGCATCGAAATGAGTACCCACGATTAGCACTGGTGAATTTGGAGCTCGTGCCTGAATATTTCCCAGCCATTGCAGCAGCTCTGCTAAGCCCTTGTGGCCATCACTAATGCGCCATAGCACCAAATAGAGACTACGCTTGGACAAAAAGTATTGATGCGTGGCATAGTATTCCTTCTGGCCACCAAAGTCCCAAGTGCGAAACACAATCGCTTGACAACCAGTTGCACGCTTCCGCTTCTCGCATATCCATGTGCCAATATCCACGCCAACCGTTGAGATGTTTGCCTGGCGCTGGGAGCGCGATGTGCTGCGCGAATG